ATTATACATTTCCCGGTAAAATCTCGATATCGGGTGTTGACATATCATCGGCACGCACGTGTACTATTGTTTACCAGGGGCCTGTTCGTTTATGCGGAGCAACCGGTTTGACCGTTTATAAATGTAACAATTTCGGGTATAAATCCTGGCGGACCTGCAAATGTGTATGCAGGCCTTGCAAGGCTTTCTCAAGGCTCGCCTGAAAGCAGCATCAGATTACTAGGTCCGACCTTATTTAATAAACGAACAACAGTGGTCCGATCGGTTTGACCGTTTAAACGAAAACGGCCCAGGTGTTACTATAATTTGCACTACGATATTGAATGCCCGATACGCAATACGGAAATGACGACACGGTGTACATGCACATTTCGATCAAGATAATTGAGTCCGAGCTGTACTTTTTCCGGAAGTACGTCACGAAAATGGACGCTGATGACGATGTGTGGAGCCACCTTAATGGGCATATTTCATGGAAGAAAATGAAATGGCAATTGATAATATTTCTACTGAACAGTATTTAAAATGGGTGGGCTTATTACCAGGCACGGGCTTATATAGCTGAAATAATTATATATCATGTAACAAAATCTGCGTATACAGCTGTACAGCACTCTAGATCTATATATCATGATTTCATTTGCCCTGACATGCACCTTTGACCTATAGCATGCTGAGGAAATAAGGGCTATCAAATTTGTTAAACTAATGACTTTAATCGCTCACTTTCTAGTTCACAAGGTAAAATGTGTGAAAATGTTCAATGTTTAAATGAACTTCTAAATAACAATTATACCATTCTGATGTTAAGGGTTATCAAACTTGTTCAAATGAGTTACCTTGATTCACTTCAATTTCAAGGTTACAGGGGTGAATGCTATAGGGGTAAAATGTGTTAAAAACTTAAAGCCAAGTCTTGGCCTAGAGTAATGATATTCATCCTCAATATCCTGGGGTTACGCTCACTTTGGCTCTCTGCACCCCTGAAATGTGTCATAGCAAAATTGAAGGCACGGAGATAGCAGTTTGATTGGTGTCGGGTAAAAAACTGACCTATCGCTAGGCTGATACCTGTCCTTTGAAGATTACAAAGGAGAGAATTGCCCAACTTCAAAGCCTGCCAATTTTTACCTTACGTGACAGCGAGATTCTTTTGAGGGATCAAACTAATCTTCTTGTCTCATCAACAAGGTGGCGGACACTGAGCCTTCGATTTTGCTATGACATATTCCAGGGGTGCAGAGAGCGAAAGTGAGTGTAACCCCTGTATATTGAGGATGAATGATATGTTGCTAGTAGCTGTATATAGTTTGCAGAGAAGTAACTATCATGTTTGTTAAAATAAAAAAAATAAAAATCCAGGGACAAACATAAAAAAAAATGACCGCATGCATATATGCTACATCAAATAACTGCTTCTGAGGTTTCAATCACGTTTAAGTCTCGTTTTGAAAAATATATTAAGTCTGTTGTTTGTAGAACTTTTTTTACAAGAATTTAAAAAAAATACCAATTCGGTGGCCATTTTGAAAATGTGTATTTCTTTGGCTTCAAAAAAGGCAAACATTTCACCTTTTTTGACACTAGATTGATCACTTAAGTTGTCATTGTGTCGCCATTTTTAATTATAGTAGGTTCAATTTGCTGTACAACTTTATAATGTTTGATATGATGAAAATAATATGCAACAAACTGGAAAATTATACATTATTGATATTTTTTTTACATATTTAGTGTAACTGAAGAAGCACTTTTGATTTTTGACCCCGAAAAAGGTAAAAAATAACACAAATGATAATGGGACAA